AAAGATTGTTTTTTATACTTAAACCTGACTTCCGATTCAGAAATCATTTTGATATTTTCTTGTAACGCAAGCCCGAGGTGACACAAAAAGTATTATCTCATTATCTTTGTGCATTTAAAGTTATAGAATCAGACATACTCGAACAGCTTAAGAGAAAATGAAAAGAAGGGTATAATAATGGGAATATAAATACAGCAAACCATTTAAGAGCAATCAGAAACCATATTACGGATAAGTCTTGGTTTTCTAAAATGGAGTCGACAAAGGATATAACAAGAACTATATGGAGAATAAGATTTAACCACTGTCTTATACCATCATATGTGTTTAAAATGAATCTAGCTGATACTTCACAATGTACTTGTGGTCAGAGGATAACCTATAATATAAAATTTTATACTGTTTTCTTATATCAGGAATTCGCTGTATTCTTTAACATTAAAAAACAATAGATTATTGTATAAACATGTTTTAGATATTTAACATAAATTGTAATTGTAAATATAGAGTATGTCTTTGTAATTTTTTGAAATATAAAAAAAATATAAAATAAAATAATAGAAAAAGAAAATTGTATAAGAAATGTATAAGATATTATACATTATATTTTATTATATATTTTTTCTTTCGTTGCGAGCTATGCTGATATATTTTAGCTTTATTTTGCTATCAATTCGCATTAACCTTTTTCTTGTTGATTGAAGCAATCTAAACGTTTGGCATTTCTTTCCACAGGTAGCTTAGCTTCCTCGGATATGTTGGTTGTCGCTCTGAAAACCTCAAAGTCTTCTAATATTATTGCCACAAATTGGTCGCATTGCTCCTATGGTGATCCTTTCCCAAGTTAATATGTTCCTTTTCTACCTTGTCTGCACCGTATTGAAGACGACTAATAATCAGAAATACGTATATATGGTTGCCTTCCTTATTATATACATACTTTATTATATATATATATATATATATATATATATATATATATATATATATATATATTTATACATATATATATATATATGTATATATATATATATATATATATAAACCCTAGAGCTAAGATTAATATTATTACTAAAATTAATATCAAACTCACCAGTCTTCCGGGTTGAACCGCGTCGTTGTCCATTTTGCCAAGCTTTCGGCATCCTCTCTGATGCCTTCCTCAGGGCTTCCGAGGTCTCAGTCTCCCGAGCCCCCAGACACTACTACACTGTTCACTATTCACGGCACGAACACTACTACGTATGTACTACGTATGTCCAATAGCATTCCCTTTTTAGACATGCGTGTCATTAGAATGGGAGATAACACCCTAACGACAAGTTGGTATAGAAAACCCATGGCCTCTAATAGGTTCCTTAATTACCAGTCCTGTCACCCTATGAAGTATAAACTAAACCTTATAAAAGCTTTAAGCTGCAGATTACATAAATTGACACATCCAATTAATCGAAGGGAATCCCTTAAGTTATTAAGAAATATTCTAATAGAGAACTCATATCCATCATCCATCATAAACAAATACCTATACACACAAAGCTATGGTTCCTCGTTTGATGACATACCCAATGGTGACCAACTCAGAACTATTTCCAATAACTCAATTAATAGCATTGTTCTGCCAGATACTGAGTTTGAGAATCCTATTATCCATTATTCTTCTCTACCTTATTTTCCTCAAGTTACTGAGAAACTTATTAAACTGTAGAAACAAAATAACATTCCTGTTAAAATTGCTGTCAAGAACGCAAAAACTGTTAGAAATCTTTTTTCAAAAACTAAAACACCATTGTCCACTTTAGAACAAGTCAATACAATTTACCACCTTCCATGCTCTGATTGTGATTTGTGCTACATTGGCCAGACCGGTAGATCATTAAAAGGTCGTCTTACTTCTCATCGTAGTGATATTAATTTATCAAAAAATACGTGTGCTCTCGCACAACACGCTATTAGCACCAAACATAAAGTGGATTTTAATGAAGTTAAGATTCTTGGCACTGAACGTAATCTATTTAAAAGACAGTTTTTAGAAATGTGTTCAATTCTTAAACATCCTAATTCTCTAAATAAGAGAACTGACATAAGTAACTTGAGCCAAATTTATCATGCTCTAATATTGCAGAACTAGGCTTTACTTTCATTTTCAATATAATTGTCATGTAATATACATATTTGAACACAACTTTTTTAATTAATAATATAACATAGTAAATAAATAACTAATATTAAAATAAACTGAAACACTCAATTCTTTAAACCAACTACTTAAATATAGGCAACTTTCATTACACTGTTTCCTCTACACTATAATTTTCCATATGAGTGTGAACCAGTCACTATTTAATAGTATAGTAATAATATTAACATTGTAATTGATTCATAGAATCCTTTACAAATTACAGATCTAAGTGTCTGAAGCTTAGACTGTTGGAAATTATCTAATTGTTATTCACCTGTTGGCAAAATTTTTTCAGCCACAATGTTTAACATAAATTTAAATATAAGAGTTTGAATGAAATTCTCCTGTTTGTTTGTTTTTAGACGGGCTAATGCGAGTAATTGTTATTGCTATATCAGTTTCTTTCATTGGATTGTCTCTTACAAGCGGGCTGTCATCCAAAGCTCATTAACATTTAAATAAACCGCTCAATTATTTGAGGTGGTACCTCTGACCTTGCTGTTCTGTTGAAATAATTTCAACCTCAAGGTTGGCTGTCTTTTCGTGGTTCTGTGTCAGTCTGTTCAATCTAACGCCATTTTCCTGGTAGCAGGTGCAAGGCTTAGACCGGTAACTTCATTCATTTACACTATTTTTTTTTAAATTATATTAACATCTTTTAATAATGCTACCAAAAGTTAAAATTAAAGCTTAATAATTATCAATAGTTGGAAGTTAATCGTTGATTTTCTTAGTTCTTTGCATCATTTAAGTTATAATTTAATATATTTTTTATACTTCGGGCCACATGGTCACTTACTGTGCTAATTTTTTAATAAGTCACTAAATGTTGTTAGTAAATTAAATGTTTATACATTTCTACTTTATAATGTCCATTTATTCAAGTTTAATTCATAAGCTTGTTAACATCTTTGACTGCTACATGTCTTTTTAAGGTAACACCTGTAACATCTTTTCCATGATTGTGTGGTTCTTATATTATACTTTTTAGAATGAACTGATGATGCTTTCAGAATACGAAAGCGAAACGTCTTCAAAATAGATAGAGTGGCACATCAACTTTGTCTTTCATTTCGCCACCTACAAATTGACCGATATAAGAGCCCACCACTCTGTTGAGTGATCCTTTTATATATTGGCATTTGACGGTCGTACTCCTTTTTCCGATATATATATATATATATATATATATATATATATATATATATATATATTATATATATATATATATTAATAAGATCCCCAAATTTTAAATAAAAATAAAATCAAAACACCCTGTATGTAGAAATAGTTTAGTTGTAAAATCATAAACCATTTAACGGGAACAACGTGAGTGGTTTCCGAATATGTGAATAAGTGATTTAGAAAGTTTTCTCCGATAAAAAGACAATACGGTTTGGACATGACCAGGTACTTTTAGTACACAACTATTTAAAATTTGCGGTCATAATAGATTAGAAAGTAATACGTAAGGATTATTGGTTAATGGGTGTTTTCCTTTACAAAAGTTAAAAAAAGAATTCAAGATCGTTTGCCGGAAAGTACTTTAACGTCAGGTAATTTTTGGAAAAACTAAAATTTAATGGACTAAGAAACAAATGCTGCGTTTGATGAAAGGGGAGGTTTGTTTGGATTAGTTTGAGATGGATAAAGAAGAAGGGGGTAAAAAGCTTGCCGGGAATGAAATGAGGGAAAAGCAGGACATTGTGAGTTGAACATCGATTATAAGAAGTAGTGCTTAGAGTTTGTGTGGAAAATTAAGCAGCTATTGTGGTAAGAAGAGACGAGTTCCAGTAGAAATAGAGGCATTACTGTAAATACAAACAGATATATTTTCGTTGTTTTTGAGAGGAAGCAGTTTATTTGTCTTGGAGTTTGGAGCTTTTGGTAAAGATATCACGACATTTTCACAAACTGTTCTGTGTCTTTTTTTATTATCAACAGAAACAGTAGGCGAAATAGCGAGCAGGGAAATTGGGAGGATCCGGGAAGTACATTGCGATCTGGTCAGGGCACAATCCAAGCAGAATCAAGGGAAGATAGTCTGTTTGAAAACCAAAGTTTTGAGTTTTTAAATACATATAATATATATATATATATATATATATATATATATATATATATATATATATATATATATATATATATATATATATATATATATGTATACAATACATATAAATACATTATATCACGATCATCTATCAACATTCCTGTCAATTGTTTGTAATTTGCAATATTGTTATAGTTAAGGTAAGAAGTCAAGGAACCAATAATTCTTTCTAAAATTTTTATATTAAGAGATATTCGATTTTGAAGTATGTGTATTTAATTTTTATTGAGCAGTAAAAGATGTGCGATTTGATGGATGATTGATTCTTTTTTTATTCCATTTATAGTGTATGGTGTAAGATTTATCCTCAACGGAATTTTAAATTAATTTGGATATATTTTAAAATAAAAGAAAATTGTTTTAATATCAGAATTGATTGTCTAATATTTCTTTTTCCTTTTGTTGATCTTTCTTAAATGGAACTAGCAGAAGATACTTTGAAGCCACGTTTTAATTAAAACAAATTAACATTAGGTTAGCCTTTCTATGTTAGTGTTTGTTGAATTTCATTTGTCATGACAGACCATATAAATCAATTACAATAGTATTAGCATTAGATGCAGTTACAAAACATGCATTATTTTGGACACATAATTGTTTTTTTAAACCTACATTATGTGATTGGACATAGTGAAAATACGTTTCAATTATTTGTATATAAATATGTAAGTAGATAGTGTAATAAATCATTGTCCTGGCCTGTACTATCAATGTAAATAACAAGTGCGTATTAAATTATTATCTAGAAATATATGAAATGATGCAGTTGCGTTTTACTGCACACAAGTAGCAACAAGGCTACTAAAATGATGTATTTAACGACATTCTCGTGTTTAGCACTTTGTATAGGTATAGTGTATTTATATTTAAAATGGAAGGTCACGTATTGGGAACGGGTAGGTCTGGAATACCTAGAGCCCCATTTAATTTTCGGTAACATTAAAGAATTGGTTCAACAAAGGGTATCAATAGGGGATCAGTTACGTAATATATATAATCAATTCAAAGCCCAAGGACTAAAGCATGGTGGTATATACTTTTTCTTCGTTCCAATCTATATTCCCGTTGACTTAGATGTTGTAAAAAATATTTGTGTACGAGATTTTGAATATTTTGTGAATCATGGTGTATACAAAAATGAAGAGTTTGATCCTCTTTCTGGACATTTGTTTGCCTTGGAGGATGATAAATGGAAAAAACTTAGAGCCAAATTGTCACCTACATTTACAACTGGTAAGGTAATTTTTTTAAATACTTCAATCTATTTACCTTTTTTTTTTCTTCTCATTCTCATTCTCATTCTTCGTCATTCTGGTAAAATAATTTTATTTAGTGCACCAATAATATTCTAATTACTAGGGTTTATTTTGTACATTATTTCTGTTCTTTTATTAACGTTTTCAAATACCTACGTTGCTGTTTCGTAACTTTGGCATCGTTCTCTGGTATCGTAAATAAATGCAAGGAATTAAGAGCTGAAGGTAAAATTGTGAACATAGGGTACAAAAAAGCTAACTGGGGATGGCATAAAATGGGTATGGTACGGAAATGGTACTTTCAAATGAGAAAATTTTAGAAATATGGGCCCAAAAAAAGGCATATAGTAGTGGAAAAAGGAAAATACTAGCGATGAACAGTAAAATGAGTTTGAACATAAATAGCATAATAAAAAAATAAGAGGATGTACCTAAATATTGCGACATGGAATGTACGAGCAGTATACGAGGAGGGTGAATTAATTAATCCAATAAAAGAACTTAAAAAATATAAAATACACATCATAGCAATACAGGAAACACATTTAACTGGAAACTACATTGAAAAGATTAGCCCATACGTTTTTTACAAGTGGAGGCGATAATAGGAATTTTAAAGTGGGTTTTCTGGTACATGAAGACGTGGAGCGGGTAAAACGATTCGTAGTAAAATATGACAGAATGTGTGCAATGAGAATTAAAGGAAAAGACAACATGGTATCGCTGATAAACACACATGCTCCAACAGAAGAAAAAGAAGTAAAAGATTTTATGAAAAATTAGAGTCATTGTGTGAAGATATATATAAAAAATTAACAGGGGGTAAAAGTAAACATTTGAATATAATTGAAAAAGGACAAAGATTGATTACATTCGCAATTGAAAACAAGATGAAAATAATGAGTACCCATTTTAAAAGAAAAAAAAATATATAAAGGAACGTGAAAAATTGATCGGATCAAATGAAACTAATCAAATAGAGCACATCGTAATACAAGAGAAGTTCGCCAATTTAAGAACAAATGTGAAAACGTGCAGAGGAGCTGACGTAGATCATTTTTTGGTTAGAATTGATATGAGAGAAGCAATTTTTAAAAAGCATAAACGGAAAAAGAAAGTGCAACGTAAATTTAACTTTGAAAAACTGCGAAAATTTGAGGTAGCTCAGGATTATCAAAAGGATATACAAGAAACCTACGCCAAACGATAGTACTATTGTGAGTAACATAGAACAAAAGTTCTTGAAAATGACAAACACTATAAGAAAAGCTACGTCGAAGAACATACCAAGAAAAAAAATTTAGAAAAACCACTGGTTCGATGACGAATGTAGAACAGAGTTAAAAAAAAACAGATTTAAGATTAAAAAGTTTCTTCTTCTTCTTCTTAAGGTGCCTGTCCGTTCCGAACGTTACCGATCATTCTGGGTATGATGATTTTGTTGGTTGCTATACGAAATAGCTGTGTTGAGGTCTTTCTATACCATGCTCTCAGGTTAGCAAGCCAGGATATTCTTCTTCGTCCTGGGGCTCTTTTTCCTTCAATTTTACCCTGCAAAATGCATTGAAGTACCTCGTATCTGCCTTGATTTCTCATAACATGTCCCAAGTACTCCAGCTTACGGCTCTTCACAATGTTCACCAAATTCGCGGTTGTGTTCATCCTCCGCAGTACTTCTTCATTGGTGACTTTGTTTGTCCGTGGTATCTTCCGGATTTTTCTGTATAACCATAAGTCAAACGCCTGAAGTTTTGATAGAGTTTCCGCCTTCAATGTCCACGTTTCTACTCCATACAGAAGCACTGAATATACGTAACATTTAAGGAGCCTTATTTTTGTTTTCAGATTGAGGCCATGGCTTTTGAACACAGAGCTCATAGCCAAGAATGCACTTTGGCCTTTCCGATGCGACATTTAATCTCTTGGGTATTGTCCCACGACTCATTGATTATAGTTCCCAAGTAATTGTATTGTGAGACACGTTCAATTCTCATTTGGTTCACATACAGATTTGCTCCAGTTATGTTTTGCTTGCTGATGATCATTAGCTTGGTTTTGCTGGTGTTTATATCCAGTCCTTAGGTTCTACTTGTTCCTGTTATTTTGTTCATTAAGTTTTGCAGCCCTTCTATGGTATTGGAAAACACTATTGTATCATCTGCATACCGCAGGTTATTAAGCTTGACTCCATTTATTGAGATGCCTTCATCAATATCTTTTAGGGCCTCTTCAAAAATGTACTCCGAGTACAGATTGAATATCAGTGGTGAAATTATGCACCCCTGTCTCACTCCTCTTAAGATTTTGACCTGTTTTGTATATTCTCCATCTATTCGGAGTACCACTTATTGATTCCAATACAGATTAGCTATAATTTTTAAGTCTCTTCCATCAATCCCTGTCCTCTTCAGCACTTCCATCATTTGTTCATGCCTGACTCTATCGAAAGCCTTCTTGTAGTCAATCAGGCCTGCAAAAACATTACAGCTGACATCCCTACATTTTTGAAACAAGATCTGCACGCTAAATAAAGCTTCCCTCGTACTAACGGCGTTCACAAATCCAAACTGATTGGGCGCAATTTGTTCCTCGCATTTCCAATAAATTTTTTTGTGGATGACCTTTAAAAACAGATTTAGCAGATAGCTCATTAGGCTTATTGTCCTATAATCTTCACAAACTTTTGCTCCTGGTTTTTTGGGCAATGGTGCGAACTCCGATTTGAGGCACTCTACTGGTATTTTTCCTGCCTTGTATATTTCATTAAATATATTAGTTATTATTTTTATTTGTTCTGTATCTAATAGCTTCAGCAGTTCTGCAGGAATTTCATCAAGTCTCGGTGTCTTTCCATCCTTCATTTGTCTGACGGCTGCCTTAAAAAGTTTACGATCGCAAAAACAAGACGACCTAGAAAGGTATGCCGAACTACGAAAAAAAGTCAAGAGAATCCTGGGTCAATCCATACGAAGTGGTCCAATATAAATTAAGTTTACTCAGTATACTCAAGTATACTCAGTTTATACAGTATACAAAATTGCGTTAATTTTATTCTTAAAAAAATTATATTGCCGATGGCGGTCATTTTCGTTTCATCTTGTTGATCATTTTCACGAAAAACATTACTTCGTTCTTTAGCCAATATTTTCACTTTGGTTTGTCCTAAAACAATAAATCAAAAACCAAACTGTTTGGAAAAGTATGCTCTAAAAAATGGTCCATAACATTATTTAATAATTACAAACTACCCTTAAGACCCTAAATGAACCTAAAATAAGAACCTAAATAAGACCCTAAAATAAGCCAAGCTGATAATGGTTTGTAATTTTTTTCTGGAAAAGACATATTATTTACATATTTTAAATCAAAAATGTTTGAGCTTTGAGACCTAATTAATGTTTTTTTACCAAATTTCACACTAAATATAAGTGTATACTATATTTTAGAAATATTAACCTTCATTTAGAATTTTGACAGTTCAGAAGTTGCGATATTTCATAGCATAAATCTTGAGATATGTTATGATTGCGTCCAGTTGCTGTTTTTAGTTTTGAGGGTGTGATTTTCTTCAAGATTTTATGAAAAGGCACCCAAAGTTTATCATGAGTACTGAACTTAAATGATGTTCTGGGTCCATAAGGTTCAAAACAGTGCACATAGAAGTCATTATGTTGTGGTAGGTGGTACCCCTAGCTACCACTTTCCATCATACACACAGGCTATTACATCATTTTCAGTAACAATAAAACACTAAAAACTTTGTTTTCAAACTTCCACAAAATTTATACAATAAATTTATATAATAAAATATATTTAAGAACTGTTTGTCTCAAGTTGGTCATTAAGAATAATATATGTGTTTTTTAATTTGTTGATTTTCAAAGATTTTAACAAGGATAGCTTAAGGCCTTTATTTTGAATGTGTAGAATTTTATATTCGTCATTAAAAGAATGATTGTGATCTAGAAGGTGAAATGCGTATGTAGAATCTGTTTTTCTATTATTGAAAGCCATTTTATGTTCTGCTATTCGTTTATTAAAGTTTCTACCAGTTTGACCGATGTAAGTTTTTGGGCAGTCGCCACATTTAAGTTTGTACACACCACTATGTAAATGTTTTTTATTTTGGCTCTTGTTGTTTTTGATGTATTTGCCTAGGTTGTTATTTGTTCGGCAAACTGGTGTTATTTCTTTTATTTTTATGTGATATTTTGTTAAGTTGATATTTTGCCTGTATATGTAATCGAGCAGAAGGTACTGGGTTTTTCTCTGGTAGTGGAAATACTAATTTCAGGGCTTTCTTGTGTAGTTTTTGATTTAACACTTTAGTAATTGTTTGTTCGTTGTATCCGTTGTTTACTGCTATTTGCTTGATGATATTTAATTATGTCTCAAAGTTGTATTTTGACATCGGAATTTCTGGTAATCTATGTAACATACTATGATAGGCTGCCAGTTTATGTTGTGTTGGATGGGATGATGAATAGTGTATAGTCGTGTCAGTATGGGTAGGTTTATGAAATATGGAGAAGTCATGTTTGTTTTTAAGTCTGATAATTTTTAAATCTAAAAAGTTTATGCATTGATTTTGTTCTGTTTCTATTGTAAATTTAATATGACTCTGAAGTGAATTAATATACGAAAAAATTGATCGAGTTACCTGTTAGTTCCTGTGAAACATACCAGTACTTTGTCTCTAGATGATCCATAAAAATATCTGATAACAATGGGCTTAGAGGATTGCCCAATATAAGTCCTGCACTGTTATTTGTATACATTTGATTATTAAATTCAAAGTAGTGCTGGTTTATGCAAACATCAAGAAGATGTAAAATTTAAGATATAATTATTGGATTTGTACTACTTTGGTCTAAAAGGTTTTTTACTAGAATAAAAGTTTCTGTAGGAGGGATACTAGGAAAAAGATTTTTTACGTCAAATTAAATTAAACTGGAGTTGTTAGGTAATTGAACATGTTATATTTTATTAACTAGTTGTATTGTATTTTTTATGGTAAATTTAGGTGAAAATTTAGTGTGTTCTAAAATAATGTCTAACAGTTTTTTTCGAAGCTTATATGACAGAGCTGTATAAAAAGTAACTTCGTTTTTACTTAGGAAAATGGAGATAGCACTTGTAAAAAATTTTAAATATTTAGTTGCCTGAGATGTTTTAAAACATTTGACTTTATTTTCTAAGATTGGTATGATTCGATGAAAAGAACGCGTGGCAGAAATTTTCAAACAAGTTTTAAATCTCTCTTCAAGTTGTCATTAATATTGTAGGATTTCTTCACTTTCAACATAATAATACTGAATACCTTTTAAATTATGTAAACAGAGATCAAATATCTTTTGCAGTTAAAATTTTATTTTTACAAGTTGATTGTAAACTGGTTTCAGTAACTTCTTTTTTATTGTGCCGCCGATACCATCGCATGCATTTTTCTCGTGGGCTGTTGCAAAAAAGTGTCATTCCGCCTGTATACCAAAATCTTGCTCATGATGACAGATATTCAGGAATTTTTTTTATTTTTATATTGGCTACTGGCACCATCAGTAAAATAAATTACTCTTTTAACCACTGGAGCAATAGCTTTTAAGTCTTCAATGAAATATTTTTAAAAACAGTGAACCACGGCAGTATTATGTTTTTAATAGTTACTTATGATGCATAGACATTGGCTTTTAACAGCTCCTATATCATCATCAAAATAGTAATAAACAAATGGGAGAACTGTGGCTTGTTTGTTGACACAATGATAGCTCTGGATCTCATTCTGGATCTCAGAATATTGTCTGGAAAAGTAGTAGAGGGAGAATGAAGAAGACGAACTAATGCAGAAGTGTACCATTTCTATGCCAATCCGACAATAACAAAAGTGGTAAAAAACGTAGACTAGAATGACTTGGTCAGCTAGAAAGAATGCAAGGTAAAAGACTAGTCAAGAATGATGCTTGGAGAGTACCTGAGAGCAAAAAAAGAGAGGAAGACCAATAAAGAAATGAAGAGATGTAGTGATGGAAGATGTCGGAGAGATGGCAATCAGAGATTGAAAGCTGGTAATGGGCCAGCAATGGGCCTAAAAGGCCTGTTAACGCTGTACATACATACTCTGGTGTTTAATATTAAGTCTATCCACTATATTTTAAAAATATAAGTATATCTCGAATGCACCCAGTCTCTTTATTGTTGCCTCATACTCTCATACTCCAGTCACTCGGCATATACATCTTCCAGTTTGGTCGTACTGAACCAATTCACTTACAATTAAATGAGTTGATGGAAAAGTGCTCAAACAAAAAAAAACTACGTAACACCAATGTGTGCTCCCGCCCTAGGTATGGTTGCCACTTTTTTAGGGGGTGGAAATTATTTTGCTTAAAATAATTGGTAGAGGAATTATAGAAAATTAAATTTTTTTTTTCAGAAAGTCTACAGAAAAGTTTACCGAACAAACATCAAATTTATATAAAAAAGCGATTTATTTTTTACAAAATATTTTAGTTTCAATAAAAAGTGAGATATGTTGGATGAAAGGAGACTTTTTTTGCGAATATTTGAATAAATGTATTTAACGTTAAATTGTAAGAAAAGGGTAACGGAAAGGAAAGGGCTGACATCGGTCTATGATGTGATCTTACAATGAGCATTACAAAACTTCATATTATTTGCGTGTAAAATGAGTAAGTTACAGGTCGTAAAAGATGGAATATATTAGTGAAAAAAGGGCAGTATAATTTAACATTAGATCCACCAGAATCACTGTTTTTTGTTTTGCTTCTACTTCTTCTTCTTCTTCTAGTTCCATGACCGTTATCGATCGTTTGATATCATGTGGCTGGCATATTCGCTGTAGAAATGATGTAGTTGATTTTTCATACCATTGCCTTAGATTTTTCAGCCATAATGTTCCTCGTCTACCACAATTACCACGAATCGGACCACGATTACCTTGGATCTTTCCCTGAATGATCAGATGTAAAAGATATATTTTTCAGGGTGTCTCATAATGTGACCGAAGTATTCCAGCTTGCGTTTCTTTATTATATTGACCTGTTGTGTTGTTGTTTGGTTCAGCCGTCTAAGGACCTCCTCATTTCTAACTCTGTCGACCCAGCTTATTTTCAGTAGTCGTCTGTATACCCACATCTCAAAGGATGTCAAGCGTTTAAGGATAGCCTCAGTTAGAGTCCTCGCTTCCACTCCATGCAGCAGAACAGGAAAGATGTAGCAAGATGTCATTCGAACTTTAAGGTCAATGCTAAGATCGTGACTGCAAAGTACGTTTCTCATTTTTACAAAGACAGCTCGGGCTTGTTCTATTCGGCTTTTAATTTCTGAGGTTGGATCCCAGCTCTCATTGATATTACTGCCGAGATACACGAGTTTCTTTACTCTGTCCAATGGGGCATCTCCGACTTTTATACCGTTATCCTGTATATAATTTTGCTTGCTAACTATCATATATTTAGTTTTCTTAACGTTGAGTTTTAATCCATACTGCACGTCTTGATTTGCTTCTACATTACATTTTATTTTAACGTTTTTTAATAAATCCAGGTGTTTGTCTAGTTAAAAATGCTTTATTTTTGAAAAAGAAAGTTGTATTAAATTGTATCGTCTATTTTAATTTTTTTTTTTAAATTGTTCTTTTTTTTTTCAAAATAACTTAAAAACTGTAATAAATACGTACAAAAATGATACAGTAAAAAAATGTAGTTATTTTTTCAATAAACAGTCTTGTCTTTTATAAACTTCTGTACCGTAAATAAAAATGGCGATATCACCAACTAAAATCTATGTCTTCGTGTGAACACTTCCTGTTTTGTGTGGTTCAAACAATAAGTTTTCAAAAACTGAGGAGAATTTGGCTTTCTAATGAACCTTGTCTGGTAGCCCTTGAATTTCCTTTTTAAATGGATATATAGACATATATCAAAACCTAAAAATTTACTGACTTATTGAAAAAAAAAAGATCTTTTTGGGAGATAATTTTAGAGCGTCAAAAATAATATACGCATTTTTGAGCTCTCACATATATCTATAATAGTATGCATAAGGCCTGCTTTACACATGGGATCCAACGTTGGAGCCAACATTGTGTCAACTGTGTTCCCACGTTCGGTGAGGCATCCACACATTTGATTGAGTATTGGGACGATATCAGTCTGTTCTCTTTAGAGCCAACGTCAACATGTCCGACATGGAAATTTCTGCGGCTGCGAATATCGTGATAATGGGTGCATATGATTATATTTTGCTACAAAAAGACGAATTTTACGTCATTTTGTCTACAGCATTACTTAAATCTACTAGATCCTTAGATATGCCATATTTGGCAGCTGCACACTAAATATATAAGTGTAAATATGATGTCGAGGCTCTGAAGGTGAGTTCTTCTTTTATTCTTTAAATTTGGGAATTTAATTCCCAAAATTTCTTAGCCTTCTATTTTGGCTATATTCTGAATCACACGTGACTTTAATCCACAGCCGATATATGGAAGTAAAAATTTTAAAAGTTACATGACCACACGATGGTGGTCTATTAGGACAAAATTATCTGTATTTCAAAATTAGAAGGTACTGAAAATAACATATATGTATATATATATATATATATATATATATATATATATATAAATATATATTTTTATATATATATATATATATATATATATATATATATATATATATATATATATATATATATGCATTAAGATAGAAAACACAAAAAGTATAGCTCTATAATTAATTTTATATTTTTAGGTAAAATTAAAATGATGTTTCAAACACTTTGTTCTACATCTAAAGGATTATATGAAGTTTTAGAAGATCATGCTAGGTTTAATGAAGTATTAGATATAAGAGACTTAGTAGCCAGATTTACAACTGATGTCATAGCATCAGTTGCATTTGGATTAGAATGTAATTCTCTTAAAAATCCAAACGAAGAATTTAGGCATAAGGGACGCAAGTTATTTGATTTAACTGCTATTGAACGTTTTAAGGACACACTTATGTTTATACTACCGTTGAAAGTTATAAATTTTTTTAATTTAACATTATTTCCTAACGATGTTAACACTTTTTTTCTGAACGTAGTACAAAAAACTGTTGAATATAGAGAAAAAAACAAGATCAGCCGAAAGGACTTTATGCACTTGCTGTTGCAATTGAAAAATCGGGGAAAAGTTGCCGACGACCAGTTTATATTTAAACAAGAGGGTGAGAAAGATGGCACTGATTTTATAACTTTCAACGAATTGGCAGCCCAATGTTTGCTATTTTTTGTTGCTGGTTTTGAAACGTCGTCAACTACTATAAGTTTTGCTTTGTTGGAGTTAGCTAGAAACCAAGATATTCAGAAGAAACTTAGAGATGAAATTAAAAGAGTATTAAATAAGCACAATAATGAATTGACTTACGATGCAATAATGGAAATGAAGTACTTGGAACAAGTGATTTATGGTAAGTCCCTATCATTTTTAAAAATTATATACTAGTTATACAGATACGGTGAAATAAATATAACAGATTTTAAGCAAATATTTTCTATATTAATAACATTTTTGCCAAAGTACACATCTGCAGATGCAGTGACTTTTTAATTGGACAGAAAGGACAGAAATTTTATGGGATCTGCTTGTGCACTTAGTTGCTAGAAGTTTTTTTAATGGGATAGACTAGGAGTCAATCAGCCAGTTCCAACATGACTAATACCTCAAACATAAAAATTAACTACTCTTAAAATTAGAAATATCAATAACGAAGAGTTGAATAATATGATTTAACGCTAGAAAGTCGGAGGGGCCAATTTGACCCCTGTTGCGATTTGAAGTTACTGTAGTTCTTTTATTTGACACAATAATAATTTTATATTCTATGACTTTTAATATTTTGATACAAAGTCTTATTTAACGCAAAAAAATATTGTTTACTAAATTTATTAAATGGATTTTCTAACAAACCTACCATAGAAATCTGAAGGGGCCAAACTCTCCCTGTATTAATTATTATCGTTTTCTCGGAAATTTGACGATTTCTTTCACCTTTCTGTCGGGTAGATAAAATTTTGTTTATGTACGTCTATTCCTAGAAGGTATTTTGTTATATACTGTTTGTTCCTTGAAAGTATTTTGTTTATTGAGCGGTTTATTAGGTTCTGCTGACTCTCGTTTCTAGAATACTGAAACATTCGTTCAATTGTGAAAATTTAAGACGACTGTAAAGATGTCTCGTCGTGGACTATCAGAGCTTGAACTTGTTGAAGAAATACGAAAAATGCAAAAAGAAGTTTCGGGAGGTGAATCTGAATTTGCAGAAAATAATGAGTCAGACGATGAACAATACGTACCACCACAAAATAATGATTCAAGTGACTGATGCTTCAGAGCAGTTAAAAAGTTTTATTGTCCAAGAATCACCAATTTATGTAAACACTGCTTCTACAACTCAACAGCACGAGTCAGCTAATTTTATCGTGAATCCAAGTGTATCTGAGCCAAGTCACAAGAGAAAAAGAGGTCGACAAGGAAAAACTATTTCAATCGGAGACACCGAATAATCGAAAGACGGAACAACGTGGCAAGTTATTGATTCTGGATCAGCACCTGGTAAGATTATGATTTTTAGTATCTTCATATTCATTGAATGTTTGCTCATTACAGGACGCCGCGCTCAGCACAACATTTATCGAGAGGAATCAGGTCCTACGTCGTATGCAAAAAAAACGTGAGGAACAATTGTGTGGTAAGTGCTTGGCATCTAATAATCAACGACAGCATGTTACGTCATATATAAGAATGCACTATTGCAGAAGCACATCGATGTTTGAAAAATGACACATGGACTATAACTTTGAAAGAACTGGAGGCTGTCCTTGCTATTATGTACGCAAGAGGAGTCTACGGCGCCAAAAATTTCCCAACCAACAGCTTGTGGTCAACAGTATGGGGTCCTCAGTTTTTGAGGCAAACTATGCCACGAGACAGATTCAAGGATATTATAAAATATCTCAGATTTGACATAAAGCAAACGAGATCTGAACTATTGAAAACCGACAAATTTGCTCTAGCCTCTGCGGTTTGAAATGGATTCATAGAAAATAGTGGTGCATGTTACAAACCTTGCTGTGGACGAACAACTACTGCCTTCTAAAGTCAGGTGCCCGTTCACACAGTACATATCAAATAAGCCGGATAAGTTTGGCATACAATTTTGGCTTTTGACATGCGTGGAATCAAAATATATTGTAAATGGTTACATTTACAATATATTTTAAACACTTACTGCATACCAAGGAAAGAGTCACAAAAATGTGCTTTTGTTGAGCTCATTACATCAATCAGTGGATGTTGCTGTCGATGGAAAAAAACTTCCTCAAACAGTAAGTTGTTCTAATAAAACAAAATACGGGGTTGATGTATTGGCCAAATGGCGCGTCTTTATACTACAAAAGTTGCTTCAAGACGATGGCCAATGCACGTGTTTTATAACATTCTTGACTTAGGAGCAATAAATGCATGGATTATTTATAAAGAAGTTACTGGAAGTAAAATCAGTCATCGTAAGTTTATTCTTCAGCTGTGTGAAGAATATTACGGGCTCCATACCTTGCCTCCCGAAATGTGGTACTATACCCAGCACCACCGGATTTACCAACCACCAGCGCTGCTACTAGCCAAAAAAGAAAAAAATGTCAGTTAAAAATGTTTTGTAAAGAAAATCATACTTCCAATGAGTGCCGCGGCTGTAACAAGACAATGTTTGGCAAATGCCAAAAACTGCAAACTGTATGGTGTTCCAAATGTTTAAAATGTAACTAAAAAATCCAATTCTATCGTCAAGAGTTTATATAATTGCTTAAAACTGTTTATTTTTATTTTTTGTTTATTCCCAAATAAATAGTTAATTCTAAAGTTGGTTTTTATTGATTTAGGAACTTGGGGCCAAAATGATCCCTTCGGGCTTTCTAGGTAGGTATGCTAAGCCCGACTTTCTAGTGTTAATTACTAGAGTTAAAATAAGATATAAGTTCAATGTAGCTTCAATTCAAGTTGCATATTTAAAATTGATCAATTGTTTTGTTCTTAGTCAGAAGCATTCTTTGTGTCAATAAATTAAAATTTCTGTTAAAATAAATCTGTTTTTTCCGTAGTGCCCTACGATATCTCGTATGTTGCTGTACGTTAAACAATAATAAAGATACTGTGTATTGCGCTTTTGGTAGTCGCCCTGTTTGTGTTTTCTTTTGTAATCATCATTATTATCAGTGGCATTACAGCTCGTTATGAGCCAAAGCCTTCTACAGAACAATCTTCCATTCACCCCTGTCTCTGGCAACTCTTCTGCATACTTTAACTACGATGGATTTTAGATCATCCTCTATGTTATCTTGATACCTAAGTTCTGGTCTTCCTCTGGATCGTCTTTCCACTGGTCCTCTTCGGTTGAAAATTTTTCTGATCGTTGCGTCTTCATCTCGCCTAATTACATGTCCTATCCATCGAAGGCGTTCTAATTTAATAAATTTTACAACGTCAGGTTCCCTAAAACTTCTGTATAATTCAAAGTTGTAGAGTCTACGCCACAAACCCTGTTCTTGGACTCCTCTATATATTTTCCTTAGAATTTTTCTCTCGAAACGGCTAAGCAGTTCTTGGTCGTTCTGTGTGAGTGACCACGTTTCTGACCCGTATGTTAACACTGGCCTTATTATTGTTTTATATCGTCAGCAGCGAGCCTATTTCCTTTTGTAATACACAAAAATAATCTAGGGGACAAAAACAAAATTCGAGATTATAAAAGGATTTCAAATAATTTATTTTTAATAAAAAGTATAAACAAGTATCCCGAATATAAATTAAATATTTTTTTTTAGAATTATCGCAATAGCTCTTAACAAAATGAAAAGAGAACTCTATAAATAAAAATATGTTAACAAAAAAATTAACAACTAATTTGTTGGCCCTCAATTTCCAACAAAGTAGTCTTTAGGTTAAGTTAGTACAGTGTATGACCTCCACAATTGTTAATTACTGTCCTACATCTGTAAGGCAAACTCATGATCAGTAGATCAATGTCTTGCTGCGGTATTCTGTTTCACTCCATTAAAAGGCTCCTTATACAGTTACTCTCCTGTATTAAACCCAATATTTTGTTGTAAAATTCGTCTGCCCAATATGTCCCATACATGCTCAATTGGGTCTAAATCTGGCGATTGTGCAGGCCATGGTTAAACCTCAATTTCATTATCTTCGATGAATGTTCGCACGACCCTGGCAGTATGCGGACGCGCATTGTCGTACATTAATTAAAATTGGGAACCAGCTTGTTACGCAAAAGGTACTACAATTGGTTGAAGAATAATATCGCGATAGTCTGTTGCATTTAAAAGCCATTCCAGATAAAAGAAATTGGTTCTTCCACCAAGGGTGATGCCACCCCATATCATTATACTGCCGCCTTACTGTCTTACAGCTTCTCCAATCATTTCGACTTATCGCTGTTCTTTTCTATTAATGCATTCCTAGGCATTTCCTGGTATCCTCATCGACTTATTACCCCAATACTAAAATATGGAGATAATTCTCAAGTGAATTATTATAATTTGTATTCCCAAAGTTTTTAAGAGCCTGTCTGACTATTTCTCAGCAACTTTAAAAGTCCATTTTATCGACCAGCAATTTGTATTTCTCAGTAGCCGCTCCACTGCACTTAATTTATTGAATTTACTGATTTCCTTACCGAATTTCTTGAAGATGGCTTACAGGTTCATGCTGTATAAACAGACTTTAGAAAGGTTTTGGACTGGGCAAATCATAAGATTTTAATCAATAAGTTAAAGAGTCTCGATATCCAGGGTAAACTTTTATAATGATTTTTATTCTCCCTAACAAAAGAATGATGGTGACTATCAAAAACTACAATCTGAATTTTATTCGTTGAGCTATTGGTGTGACAGCAACGAAATGGAACTTAATGTTAAAAAATGTTATTTAATAGTTTTTGGTCGAAATAAAACTCCTACAAATTATATCTATACTATTAATGGTTGCCCTTTAGACTCTGTATATCAGATAGAAGACCTAGGTGTTGTGCTCGATTTCAGATTATCCTATATCCCCCATATCTCATCTGTTATCTCAAAATCACTTTAACTTTTAGGGTTTATCAAACGTTGTGCTAAACAATTTCTAAATATCCCATCCATAAAAATTTTGTATTTTTCACTTGTGAGACCCCACCTAGATTAGTGTCAATTTGTTTGTTCTCCCCACTATAACACCCATATTCAAGCTATTGAGAGACTTCAACACAAATTCTTAAGATTTGTTACATTAAAACAAAACCAAAGAATTGTAGAAATTGGCTATTCAAATTTTAAATATGGAAAGGTCCCTCAATATAACTTCTCTCCAAATCCGACGCATGCACAAAGATCTCACTATGTTTTATAGTACCTATACTGCACTCTGTTATGTTTGGTCCTCAACTATTGGAAAAAATTAACCTTCGTGTTCTCAGTAGAGAAACAAGGCTAAATCAACCCTTTTATGTTAGACGCCATCGCACAAACTACGGACTCAATTCATTCACATCGAGAACACCAAGGTTTGCTAATCATTATTCCCAAAGTTTGGATTGTTATATTATTTTTTTTTAATGTTTGTTATTTACTGTTCCAACTTTTATTTTTTGTATGATTAATTTTTTTAACTTTAATTTAAGTAGGTTACGTTCAAAATCTTCTGTAATTTATCAATAATGTTTACATTGTATTTTAATTAGGCGACTGTCCGTTGATAAATAAATAAATAGGTGGCGCTAGGAGCTATTGTACTGGACAAAGAGTGTGACTAAAGATGTTGCCCTAGCCTTTTATATAAATACAGGGTGAGTCATGAGGAACTTTACATACTTCTACCATATGTAGAGTCCCTCAGGGAGCATATCATGTGGCCACTAAAAAATGTCAACTCCTCTTCTTTATTAATTAACAGGGTGATTTGTGTAATTGACCATCTATTTTATTTTACTGTAGTATTTATACGGCTAATTTGATTTTTTTTAAATTTTTGCATGATACAGTACACTACTAAGAAGCATTCGACTGGTATTAGCTAAACAAAAAAATTCCAGGACTGGCTTTGGAAAAACTAATTTAGGGATTCGTATTAAATATTACACCCTGTATATATATTTTTTTAAAATGCAATAAGTGATTTTCAAACTACATAAATAGCCAATGAAAACGACATATGCGACAATGTTGTCGCACTTTTATTAAATTTTTAGTGAACGATCAAATCTTACCAAAAAATAGAACAACCATAATGAAGTATCAAATTATAAGGTAATTAATTTAAACAAATGTTATAAATTTCAAACATTTTAATTGAAATGATAAACTAAGTCACTTCACAACAAAAAACAGTAACTACTAACAATAACGAAGAACAATTTAAAAAAAAACTAAAAATATGTACATAGTTGTGATAAACCCATAAATTAGAACTGGAAAAGATACAATAATGTAACATTATTGTATCAAAAAGTATTAACAATTGTATTAACAAGTAACAAAATAAAAATATTTCAAAACGGATTTCCGAAATGGAACCCTGCAGCCTGTACACATTTTTGTTGCCGAATTGTTAATTGACGTATTGAATTACGGATACTCTGGGAATCGTTTCTAATAGTATTACAACAATGTATAATTCTATCAATTAATTGTTGTCGGTTACTAATATTTACTGCGTAAACTAGTTGCTTCAATCGTCCCCAAATATGGTAATAAACGGGATTGAAATCAGGGGATCTTGAAGGCCACGAAATTGGACCTGCACGTCCTATCCACCTGTTGCCATAAACATTATTGAGATGTTGTCTCACTGCCAGAAAAAAGTGTACGGGTGCCCCATCATGCTGAAAATACATCCTTCGGATAGCAACGTTCGCGTTGGCAAGCAAATTCGGCAAATTATTTTGTAGAAAGTTCAAATAGACCTGCCCTGTTAAAGAACCATCAAAAAAGTGAGGACTTACTAATTGGTTATTTATGACACCAATCCACACGTTAACCGAAAACCTTAACTGAGAACGACGTTTTCGAATAGCATGGGGATTTTCTTCTGCCCACACATGTGAATTTCGTGAATTATTTATCCCGTTTCTGGTAAATTGGGCTTCATCTGTAAATAGTGTCCTGTATAACGTTGGTCGATTATTGTTAATCCATCTACAAAATTCCAACCTATCGATCTCATCTCCAGCATGTAGTCGCTGAACCATTTGAATGTGATATGGGTATAGATTATTTTTTTGTAAGACTCTACTTACTTTTGATTGAGTAACATTGAGTTCTCGACTTACTTGTCTAGTGCTTATTGTAGGGTTCATAGTAACGGCGTCCATACTGTCATCTTCCTGCACTTCATCTACATGTCGCTCTGTTGTTCCACTAGGAAAAGTGCCATTTTCTCGCAAACAATTAAAAACTGGCCCAAATGTTGGATGACTGGGAGTTCGACGATTAGGAAATCTCCTGCGATATTCTCTACTAGCAGCCCTACCATTCCCATTACAGAATCCATAAACAAATATTATGTCTGCATATTCTGTGGTCGCAAACTGATGTGGCATTTTGAACGAAAGTAACAAAAGCTCTACCAAAACTAACACAATGTATTTAACGTAGATATGACAGAAGAAATATGTATTCTTGTACACATAAATAACAATTGATAATGACAATCATGACAATGGGTATAAAATATCAAGAAACGTCAAACGGTCAACGCCAACCTTCATTTTAAATTTTTTAGATTTATTTTTATTTAGTACAGTTGATGCAATGTATTATTATTTGACATAAAATTTTAATCATTTACAATCAACAAAAACTAACACATACAAGAGGTTTGACTTTTTAAGTGACAGTAAAGATGTTAATTTTCTACGTATTAGATTATGATGTAGGAACTCATTTTAATTAAAATGTTTGAAATTTATAACATTTGTTTAAATCAATACCTTATAATTTGATACTTCATTATGGTTGTTCTATTTTTGGTAAGATTTGATCGTTCACTAAAAATTTAATAAAAGTGCGACAACATTGTCGCATATGTCGTTTTTTATTGGCTATTTATGTAATTTGAAAATCAATTATTGCATTTAAAAATATATATATATATATATATATATATATATATATATACATATATATATATATATATATATATATATATATATATATATATATATATATATATATATATATATATATATATATATATATATATATATATATATATATTTATATATATATATATTTATATATATATATACAGGGTGTAATATTTAATACGAATCCCTAAATTAATTTTTCCAAAGCCAGTCCTGGAATTTTTTAGTTTACCAAATACCAGTCGAATGCTTGATAGTAGTGTACTGTATCATGCAAAAATTAAAAAATTAAATGAGCCGTATAAACACTACAGTAAAATGAAATAAATGGTCAATTACACAAATCACCCTATTAATTAATAAAGAAGAGGAGTTGACATTTTTTAGTGGCCACATGATATGCTCCCTGAGGGACTCTACATATGGTAGAAGTATGTAAAGTTCCTCATGATTCACCCTGTAGATTACCTCAAACGTATCTATGTTATATTGTTTATGATTATGCTATTTTATCAATTTGTTATATTAAAAATTAGATATAAAACTTTTATACTAATTCTATGTATATATTTTAGAAAGTCTTCGAAAACATCCACCTACTCCAAATGTTCCAAGAAAATGTACCAAAGATTACACGGTTCCTGGAACTAGTGTAACTATTAAGAAGGGAGTTCAAGTTCTCATTCCAATACTGGCTATTCAGAATGATCCAGAAGTTTATCCAGATCCGGAAAAATTTGATCCGGATCGATTTACAGATGAAAATAAAGCCAAAAGGCATCCAGCAGCATTCTTGGCGTTTGGAGATGGTCCTCGATATTGTTTAGGTAATTTGAATTACATTAATTTTAAGAAGAATTATTTTTAAAGTGTTTTAAATTCGATCAGTAAATGGTAGAAAGGAGTTAAACGATGCAATTAACAAATAAATGTTACCAACTTGAGCCTAAGAATATTTTTAACGGTATGGATTATTTTTATTGGAAATAAACCACATTTTTTTTGAATATAGACTGTTATACTAAACGTTTAGTAAAACAAAGTAATTTCTTCGGGAAAAATTAAACTGAAATGTTTGTAAATTTGTTAATCTTTTGCAGAACCCACACGAACAAAGTCATGTTATTCGTTTAAATAATACATTGAAAAATTAAAAAAGTTTTTCCATTATTTTTCTTCTATTGCTTCTTTCTTAGATTCTCTCTTTTGAGGGGTTATTGTTCGTTACTTATTACCGCCTCTCATTTTTGTCAATATGGTCTGCTTCACCTATACCTTTCTCTCTCAAGTATTCTGACACACAATCCTTCCATCTTCTCGTCAGTTTACCTCTAACTCTCTTTTCAGCAACTTTAACAGTTCTATCATACGTTCCACATATTTTTTATTTCTACGTCTGACATGACCAAACCATTGCAGTATTTGTTCTTGAATCTTTATTGAGTCTGTAGTCAATTCTGCTCTTTCACTAATTAAGTAATTTCTAATTCTGTTTCTTATAGTCTTACCCAGCCTCCACCGTAACATTTTCATTTCAGCTACCTCTTTCTTCTTTTCCTAAATTTTCTTTACAGGACACACTTCACCGCCTTACACGAACGCAGGTTTTTAAATGCTCTGCATACTCTATTTTTGACCTACTGATCTTATGTCCTTCGTTTTCAATAGCCTTTCTCCAACCTTCCAACTTCTGCTCCAACGTATTTTTGCTCTCCTCTACTAACACGATACCATATACCATCACACTCACTTTTTATGTATTAGGCATTCGTTCTTTCTCATATACAATACTTTTCATTTGCCACAAAATATCAATCCATTCCTCTCCTAGAGCCTTCCAAACCTCCACAGGTATTTCATCAATTCCTACTGTCTTCCTATCTGTCTATCTCCTATATAACGTTCTCATTTAAGATCCCACATTTACTGTATTTTCGTTCTGTGTTCTTCATTTAGACGCTTTCTTTTTTTTTCAGTGGCTTATCCGGTCCGGATGTTTGTGATCATCAAGGCTATCATGGTTTTGTTGACTGTGCTGCGAAACAGCTCTGCGAAACTTTCTAATGTACTCATACCATCTTTTCTTTATTTTAACATTGGTTATTAACACTCTTTCATTCGAACTCTTCATCTGCCGTATCTAGGTAAAGTCCTGTGAGGATTTGTCCCTTGCTTTAGCAATGTTGTATAATTTTTTTATTTCCTTGAGTGTTTCCAGCTCGTACAGACGATATTTCCTTAGCGGTAGCTACAACGTGCTTTGCTTGTATGTATATATATATATACATATATATATATATATATTATATATATATATATATATATATATATATATATCCTTCTCTTGCTCTTGCCCTATTTTAGGCCTCTTTCTTCTCTCTAACCTTATGTTGTACTTAGCGTTTTATCACCACGTTTTTTTTTTTCTCCAAGTGTAAGGAGGTTTACCAGGTGTTTTTCCTAGCACTTTCTCTCGCACTTGGATCATAACTCAACTTTTTCCTCAAGCTCTTCCAGCACTCTACTTTTAACGACTCTTGCCAAATCCTTATCCTTTAGCTTCCACCACTTTGTACTTAAAGCTGCATATTCACCCTTTATCACATACTTTACTTTAATTCTCAATCATGTATTATCCAATCTCAAAAGAATATCATTTTACATTTTCTTTATTTAATAAAATATTTCTTTATTTTTTAGGTGCTCGCCTTGGATTAATGCAAACAAAAGTCGGATTAATCACATTTATTAATAATTTTCAAGTGGACGTGCACCCAAAAACCAAACTTCCTGTAAAATACATTTCCCAACGATTTATTCTATCAATGGAAGGTGGTATATGGTTGTCAGTTTCTAAACTGAAATAATACGTGTACCTACACATGGGAAAGGAATTTCCCATCTATCCTTTCACACGTACATTTTTAATTGCGTTAAAATTTATGATTACATTTATTAAATGGATGTTTATCCTTAATCTCAGGTTTACCATTATTATTTGTTTGTTATTTCCATAAATCACACAGCGCAGTTTGCTAGTTATTTAAGGACTTTTTTACTTCGATTTATGTACTAAGTGGAGGTCATTATTAATAATAACAAATCAGCCACGAAATATGTTTACACTAGAGATGTGGTTTTTATAAATTACTAGATATATTAATGCACTAATATTGACATATTTTCGTAGAATTTATGTCAAAAACGTTATCGCCGCCCAATAAAATGTATTGCTGATATTTTGTTCTACGGATATTTTTAATCTTTTACATAAAGTTATTATACTTGGTGTTTAGTTTTAAATAAACCAAAAATGAAATTAAGATAGTAGTTTATTTTTATCTTTAACCCTTTTATGGACGTTAGCAAATTGCTTCCAATGGTATAAATCAATCACCGCTATGAATTGGTTTAGTCATGAATAATAACATATTTTAATTTCTGTAGTCAGGCTAATAGTGGCTTCCCACGATCGGCAATTCTACAGATCATCGCGGACAGCCGATCAGCACGGACGGCAACGCACCGCAGACAGAGCTTTTCCTACGGTCCGTGACAGTCTGTGTAGGTCCGTGACAGTAGTGTTTGATTATATCATAAAAAGGCCACTCAGGCTTGTAAACCTCATCAGCCCCACTACCAGTTCCCATCGATTCTCTTACTTTTGTTTTTTGCCTTTTGTATGTCGACATTAAATTATCTCTCTTCTTTTTTAATTCTTTAATCGAAATAGTAATATTCTTCAATTGATTTGTTATTCGGTTCCATGCATCGTATGCTTCGTTCCGGTTCTTATGTTCTGGAGCAGTGGAATTCCATAAACTTCGTTGATCTTGATACTAATTTAAAAAATCAAAAACAACTTTGTTTGTTTATTCCATTTTTTAGCAAAAAACTGCAAAACAACTTTGACAACACTACAGAAAACTACTCGTGTCAGCGAACGAAAAACTTCTGACTTGCACTTGTCGTCTGTTAAAACACAGCCGCGCTAGGATCGCGTCGCACGAGCATGTACCGCACCTTTGATGTTACCGACTCTAGATGGATAGGACGGACCAGCACAACCATGCCTGTGCTACCACGGACGAGACCCTTCCCACGGTGAGTGGTGCGTGCTGGTCCGCTTACGTCCGCAATATCGCCGACCGTGGGAAGCCGCTATAAGAACGTGGCAAGTCCGCGCGGTCCCGGCGAAAAAAGTGCTTTGTCAGGCTGTACACGTAAGTGTCGGTTGATGCTATTGCATCGAAAAATTCCAGCTAATTTAGTCAACTAACGTGTTTTCATCAGTGAACTTGTGTTTATTACAAAAACTTAGTAATGGAGAAAATTTACCCTGAAATCCTTGATAACGATATTTCGCCTTCAAATAGAAATAGTAAAAAAAGAGATTAAAGTATTTTGAGCATGAACCAGAAAATGCTAGGAACAAAATCATCTAGAGTTTTAATCTACTCAACTTAGTTGATGAGCAGAATATATATCTGTGTGGTTTGATAACGACCTTTCCGACCAAACAACGAAGACCAAGGCAACAAGAACAAGATGCTCTTCTTCACGATGCTTCCATCCGGTACCGTAAAGGGTTGTAAACAATATAAATGGGCATACTGAAGATGTTGAAATATGTAAAAAGGCATTTATATCTGGAATACATATACATGGAACAAGTCGAAGAAAGTTTGCCGTGCTGCAGCAATCATTAAAACTAAAACTACTAAAACTAAAATAGGAGATGCACCAAAAGATCGTAGAGGTAAGCACACTAATCGACCACACAAGCTCTGTATTGAAGCAAAAAGTAAGATAAAAGGTCATATTGGATCGTTTAGAGGCCGTAAAAGTGATTACAGTACGCATGATACAACTAAGGTATAGGTACCTACCAGAAGAACTGAATATTAAAAAAATGTTTTATATGTTCTGAGAAAAGTTTCCAAATGAGCATGTGTCGCATAAAACTTATAGGACAATTTTTTCAACCGAGTTCAACATATCATTTGGATACCCTAGATATGACACATGTAGTCAATGTGACGAATATTAAGCCAAAAAATCTAGAAGCCTAAAAACTCAATTTATCGTAAACAGAAAATCTGACTTACCGTAAACTAGAGGCAAATTTAAACCGATTAAACATAGAGACTAAATTACACAAAACGAAAGCAATTTTATAAAAGAACGAGGGACGCCAAAACACGTAGCCAGAAGTTGATTTCCACGAAAGCAATCTGCATCGATTTTGTACAAAATCTTCCGGTTTCGAATATTAGTACGAGTGACATCTATTATAAAAGGCAGTTGTCTACATATGCGTTCAAGATCCATGTTCTGTCTACATCACAAAGCATATTTTACATGTATCCCTCAACAGTTGGAAAAAAAGGGAGTCATGATGTCTGCTCTTTGCTACATCATTTGGTATATAATTATCTTAACCCTGAAGTTCGTGAACCAGAAATGTTCTGCGATTTCTTTGTTTCGTTTTCTACACTATGTAGTGCATGTACAAAAAAAACTAGATTTGATTAAGGTTACTTTTGCATTATGGCTCCATTAATTCCATAATCACTTTCGAGGATAAAGATATACCACGCTGAACTTCCTTTTCAGCATCAACTTTATATTCCAAAGTGTAAAAAGGGTCGGTGCACAACTTAAAAATTTTAACCCCATGCGGATGCCTTTTGTTTTGCAGGTACTACCAGAGAACTAATGAACACGACTGTGTTCGTAGTTCTCTGGTACTACCTGAAACTTAGCCTACCCTGAAATGGTACCATCGACTCTTTTATATACAGTGACATTTCAAGAATTACACAGTGATTAAACTTATTCACTAGTAAGTTCATAAGGGGCTGAACCTTGTAAAGCCGATCTCCGGGTACCTGTGTTGAGTTATCCAAAATATGAAACATGCAGCAAATAAGTACATATTTCATTAATTAAAACTTATTATAAAATGTTGTAATAGTACATTAAAATCAACTTTCTGGCAATGTAGTCTGTCAGTTTTTTATTATATGACTGTGTGTTTTTCCAATAATGAGCCAGAGAGGGCATATCTACTAACCTTATCCACATAAATATGCCCAAAAAGTATGCATTTCTTGTCGATTTGTCAGTAGCCAGCTTTTAATTCTTGCATTTCTCTTTATATTCGGTCCTCCAAGACATTGTTGAGCATAATTGTTTGTCTGATTTACTAAGAGGGATACTCCTTCTTCATAAAAAAACCAAAGAAATCAAAAGGCCTGGCATCTTGCATTGTATCTATTGGATTGGGGTTTGCCCTTACTTCTTCGGAATTCGTATTATAATTTATATTTTTAATCCTTTGTTGATCAGGTATTTGCCAATCTTCAGATTTCTGCCAAAACTTACCCTGGAGCAGACATCGGTTCAGACCATAACCCCATAGTAGTCACATTACGAACCAAATTAAAACTGGTTAAAAAACCCACACAAAGTAGAATTGATATTAAGAGATTAAGGGAACCACAAACAAAGGAACAAACTGTAAAAACTCTTACTGAAAATATACGTAATACCCAAGAACTGAATAAAAGTAGCTATAACATTGATCAGAAATGGGAAAATATAAAAGCAGCAATAATTAAAACAGCAAATGAAAACTTAAAACCAAAGAATAGAAAACATAAAGATTGGATGACTGAAGAAATACTACTATTAATGAATGAAAGAAAATCATTCAAAACAAAAAATTCAATTAAATATAATGAAACTGATCGATTAATAAAAAAGAGAATAAAAGAAGCTAAGGAGAGAATGTTACATGAGCAGTGCCAAGAACTAGAAGAAATTGAGAAAAAATATTTTCTTTTTTAACATGCATAAAAAAATTAGCGAATTAACAGGAATGAGAAAAACACTTCAAACTAGGCAACTAAGAGATGAAAGGGGTGCACTTATAACAGATATAAACCAAAAAATGCAGAGATGGACACAATATATAGCACAACTATTTGAAGACAAAGAGAGAACAGAAGCACCAAAAGAATTTAAGGATGATACTGGGCCTGACATTATACGAGAAGAAATTGAATATGCAATGAAACAAGCTAAAGATGGTAAATCTCCCGGGCCTGATGAAGTTCCTATCGAATTACTTAAAATTGTGAATACTGAATCTATTGATCTTCTTTTGGATCTATTCAATACCATATATAGAACAGGTATAATACCTAAAGAATGGCTCCAATCAACATTCATACTGCTTCCCAAAAAAGCCAATGCAAAGGAGTGCAATGAACATCGCACCATAGCCTTAATGAGTCATGTCTTGAAATTGTTTTTAAACGTAATTCACAATAGAATACATAAGAAATTAGATGAAGGCATAAGTAATACACAAATGGGATTTAGGAAAGGACTGGGAACACGAGATGCACTGTTTGCAGTAAGTGTTCTTTCGCAGAGATGCTTAGATATTAATCAGGAAATATATGCCTGTTTCATTGATTTTGAGAAGGCATTTGACAGAGTGCAGCATAATCGACTTAAAGAAATTTTATTAAATAAAAATATAGACAGTAGAGACATTAGAATCATCTGTAACCTCTATTGGAATCAAACAGCAAAAGTGAAAGTTGAAAACGAACTGACCAAGGATATCCAGATTCGCCGTGGGGTCCGCCAAGGGTGTATTTTATCACCCTTGTTATTCAATTTATACAGTGAAGTCATCTCAAAATTAGCGCTTGCCGAGATCAGTGAGGGCCTTATAATAAACGGTGAGCCACTTAATAACATAAGATATGCTGACGACACCGTCCTTTTGGCAGGAACACTAGAAGAACTGCAACACCTTGCTGAACAACTAAATATATATTGCAACGATTATGGACTAAAAATCAATTTGAAGAAAACCAAGTTCATGGTATTTACAAAAGCACAAAACATCAAAGTTAAGCTAGTACTAGATAATACAGAAATTGAACAAATATCTTCGTACAAATACCTTGGAGCATGGATCACAGAAGATACTGATCAGACAAAAGAAATAAGATGCCGCATTGAAATTGCGCGGTCAACTTTTAATAGAATGAGAAAACTTTTTTGTAATCGCGATATCAATATATCGCTCCGGATAAGAATGCTTCGATGTTATATTTTCTCTACCCTTTTGTATGGAGTTGAAGCTTGGACACTTAAAAAATCCAACATTAAAAACCTAGAAGCATTCGAAATGTGGTGTTACCGACGCATTTTGAAAATATCATGGATGGATCGCAAAACAAACGAACAAGTTCTCGAACAACTAGGAAAACAATGCGAAGTTTTAAATTCCATAAAGATC